CATGTAGTTACATCCAGGTATAACATTGATACGTAATGACATGTAGCTATTCCCAGGTATAACATTGCTACGTAATGACATGTAGCTACCCCCAGATATAACATTGATACGTAATGACATGTAGTTACATCCAGGTATAACATTGATACGTAATGACATGTAGCTCCCCCCAGATATAACATTGATACGTGATGACATGTAGCTACCCCCAGATTTAATATTGGTACGTAATGACATGTAGCTACCCCCAGATATAACACTGATACGTAATGACATCAAGCTATCCCCAGGTTTAACATTGATACGTAATGACATGTAGCTACCCCCAGATTTAATATTGGTACGTAATAACATGTAGCTACCCCCAGATATAACACTGATCCGTAATGACATCAAGCTATCCCCAGATAACATTGATACGTAATGACATGTAGTTACCCCCAGATATAGCATTGATACGTAATGACATGTAGCTACTCCCAGATATAACATTGATACGTGATGACATGTAGCTACCCCCAGATTTAATATTGGTACGTAATGACATGTAGCTACCCCCAGATATAAGACTGATACGTAATGACATCAAGCTATCCCCAGGTTTAACATTGATACGTAATGACATGTAGTTACCCCCAGATATAGCATTGATACGTAATGACATGTAGCTACTCCCAGATATAACATTGATACGTGATGACATGTAGCTACCCCCAGATTTAATATTGGTACGTAATGACATGTAGCTACCCCCAGATATAACATTGATACGAAATGACATGTAGCTACCCCCAGATATAAGACTGATACGTAATGACATCAAGCTATCCCCAGGTTTAACATTGATACGTAATGACATGTAGTTACCTCCAGGTATAACATTTATACGTAATGACATGTAGCTACCCCCAGGTATAACATTTCGATGGGTTTGTTATTCTCTAAACGCCATCACTAGAAACTGTTATGGTTGTTATAGTTTGGATGTTGATGGTATTTGTATAACCAGGGATTATTTATAACATCAATTAAATCTGTTTTTGTTTGTTTTAGAGTGAAGGTTGTAGTCATTTGCACACCCACAAATTTTCACGAACGTAGCATTATGGAAGCTCTAAAAGCAGGTATGTACATATTGTGTAAATGATGGTTGAATACACGTATATACTCCAGACTAATCTTCCTCACGTTTTCGTATACTTATCATTATGAAATGTTAACATTCTACATGTGTTGACGTTTATAACCTAGTTGCTATATATGCAAGACCACACACTTTTGTTTTTCTAACGAATCAGAAAGCACGAGTTTATTGCGCGGACGAGTGAATAATATATACGTCCGCGCAATAAATGATTGCTTTCTGATTCGTTAGAAAAACACAAGTGTGTGGTTTTGCTTTTATCACATTCCTTCCGTATTTGGTAGAGATCGATACTAAGATTTTATAAACTTTGATATTTTTGACAAATACCGGGAACTTTTCAGTTCGCCATGACAAGGGGATTACCATAAAAAGTAGTTCCGGCTAGTATGGTGTATCACACATGTGTGATACAAACCGACAGAAAACATCAACAGAAAATTGTTGTATTACTATTGTAAGATTACATAGGTATGTGATAAATAATACTATTTCTAACGAAAGTTTAACTGGCGGTTGAGCCGTGAGTAGGTCGGTAGGGTGCCCTTGTTATACTTGTTCATTGTATGAAGAATGCTGAATGAACTTTACTTCAATTAAAAGTTGAAAAAATTGAATATTATTCCTTATGAATTAGTTTATTTGATAGTGGTAGACTATCCATCTGCTGGTATTACACTACCCTGTCACTATATTCCTCTATATTGAGACAAAACCTAATATACAGTTGTTACCTGTCTTGGACAATCAGCGTTACCGAGAGAGGGTACACAGGTGGGCCTGTAGTTACCTGTCTTGGGTAATCAGCGTTATCGAGTGAGTGTGAACAGGCGGGCCTAATTTTATGTTACCTGTCTCAGACAATCAGTCTTACCAAGTGTGGGTACACAGATGGGCCTGCTGTAACCTGTCTGTGACAATCAGCGTTACCTAGTGACGGTACACAGGTTGGCCTGTTGCTACCTGTCTTGGACAATCAGCGTTAGCAAGTGAGGTTTCACATGTGGGCCTGGTGTAACCTGTCTGTGACAATCAGTGTTACCGAGTTAGGGTGCACATGTTGGCATGCTGTTACTTGTCAGGGACAATCAGTGTGACCGAATTAGTGTACACATGTGGGCCTGTTGTTACCTGTCTGTGACAATCAGCGTTACCGAGTGACGGTACACAGGTGGGCCTGCTGTTACCTGTCTGTGACAATCAGTGTTACCGAGTTAGGGTGCACATGTGGGCATACTGTTACTTGTCAGGGACAATCAGTGTGACCGAATTAGTGTACACATGTGGGACTGGTGTTACCTGTCTTTGACAATCAGCGTTACCAAGTGACGGTATACAGGTTGGCTTGTTGTTACCTGTTTTGGGCAACCGGCCTTTCCGAGTGAGGGTACACAGGTTGGCCTGGTGTAACCTGTCTTTGACACACATTGTTACTGAATGAGGGTACACAGGTGGGCCTGGTGTTTCCTATCTTGGACAATCATCGTTACCGAGTGGGGTTTCACAGGTGGGCCTCTTGCTACCTATCTGGGACAATCAGTGTTACCGAGTTAGGGTGCACAGGTGGGCCTGTTGTTTCCTGTCTGGGATAATCAGCGTTACGAAGTAGCGGTACACATGTTGGCCTGGTGTTACCTGTCTTGGACAATCAGCGTTATCGAGTGAGTGAGCACAGGCGGGTCTAATTTTACCTGTTTGGGACAATCAGCGTTACCGAGAGAGGGTACACAGGTGGGCCTGGTGTTACCTGTCTTGGATAATCAGCGTTACCAATTGAGGGTACACAGGTAGTTCTGCTGTTACCTGTCTTGGACAACCAGCGTTACCAAGTGACGGTTCATAGGTGGGCCAGGTGTTACCTGTCTTGCACAATCAGCGTTACCGATTAAAGGTACACAGGTAGTTCTGCTGTTACCTGTCTTGGACAATCAGCGTTACCAAGTGACGGTTCATAGGTGGGCCAGGTGTTACCTGACTTGGACAATCAGTGTTACCGAGTGACGTTATACATATGGGCCTTGTTTTACCAGTCTGGGAAAAACAGCATTACGAAGTGACAGTACACAGATGGGCCTGGTGTTACCTGTATTCGACAATCAGCGTTACCGTGTGTGGGTACACAGGTGGGACTGTTGTAACCTGTCTGGGACAATGAGCGTCACCGAGTGAAGGTACACATGTGGGCCTTGGGTTACCTGTCTGGGATAATCAGCGTTATTGGGTGAGGGTACACAGGTGGGCCTGGTGTTTCCTGTCTTTGACAATCAGCGTTACTGAATGAGGGTACACAGGTGGGTCTGGGGTTACCTTTCTGGGACAGTAAGTGGTACTGAGTGAAGGTACAGGTGGGCCTATTGTTACATGTCTTGGACAATCAGCGTTACATGTACCGAGTGACGGTACACAGATGGGCCTGGTGTTACATGTCTCGGACAATCAGCGTTACGAAGTAACGGTACACATGTTGGCCTGGTGTTACCTGTCTTGGACAATCAGCGTTATTGAGTGAATGTGCACAGGCGGGTCTTATTTTACCTGTTTGCGACAATCAGCGTTACCGAGAGAGGGTACACGGGTGGGCCTGATGTTACCTGTCTGGGACAATCAGCGTTACCGAGTTACGGTACACAGGTGGGCCTGGTGTTACCTGTCTCGGACAATCAGCGTTACCGAGTGATGGTACACAGGTGGGCCTGGTGTTACCTGTCTGAGATAATCAGCGTAACCGAGTGAGGGTACACAGGTGGGCCTGGTGTTACCTGTCTCGGACAATCAGCGTTACCGAATGATGGTACACAGGTGGGCCTGGTGTTACCTGTCTGAGATAATCAGCGTAACCGAGTGACGGTACACAGATGGGCCTGTTGTTACCTGTCTGGGACAATCAGCGTTACCGTGTGTGGGTACACATGTAGTTCTGCTGTTACCTGTCTTAGACAATCAGCGTTACCGGGTGAGGGTACACAGGTGGGCCTGGTGTTACCTGTCTTCGACAATCATAGTTACCGAGAGGGGTTACACAGATGGGCCTGTTGTTACCTGTCTTGGACAATCAGCGTTACCGTGTGTGGGTACACAGGTGGTACTGTTGTTACCTGTCTGGGACAATCTGAGTTACCGAGAGAGGGCACACAGGTGGGCCTGGTGTTACCTGTCTGGAATAATCAGCGTTACCGAGTGAGTGTACATATCTTACCCTGGTGTTACCTGTCTTGGACAATCAGCGTTATCGAGTGAGTGTGCACAGGCGGGTCTAATTTTACCTGTTTGGGACAATCAGCGTTACCGAGTGACGGTACACAGATGGGTCTGTTGTTACCTGTCTAGGATAATCAGCGTTACCGAATGACGGTACACAGGTGGGCCTGATGTAACCTGTCTGGGACAATGAGCGTCACCGAGTGAAGGTACACATGTGGGCCTTGGGTTACCTGTCTGGGACAATCTGCGTTACCGAATGAGGGTACAGAGGTGGTCCTGGTGTTACCTGTCTGGGACAATCAGCGTTTCAGAGTGAGGGTACACAGGTGGGCCTGGTGTTACCTTTCTGGGACAGTAAGTGGTACTGAGTGAAGGTACAGGTGGGCCTGTTGTTACCTGTCTTGGACAATCAGCGTTTCCGTGTTTGGGTATACAGGTGGGCGTGGTATTACCTGTCTAAGACAATCAGCGTTACATGTACCGAGTGACGGTACACAGATGGGCCAGGTGTTACATGTCTTGGACAATCAGCGTTAGCGTGTGACGGTACAGAGATGGCCTGGTGGTACCTGTCTCGGAAAATCAGCGTAACGAAGTAACGGTACACATGTTGGCCTGGTGTTACCTGTCTTGGACAATCAGTGTTATCGAGTGAGTGTGCACAGGGGGTCTACTTTTACCTGTTTGGGACAATTAGCGTTACCGAGAAAGGGTACACAGGTAGGCCTGGTGTTACCTGTCTAAGATAATCAGCGTTATCGAGTGAGTGTGCACAAGGGGTCTAATTTTACCTGTTTGGGACAATCAGCGTTACCGAGAAAGGGTACACAGGTAGGCCTGGTGTTACCTGTCTGGGACAATCAGCGTTACCGAGTGACGGTACTATATGGCGGGCAGAGTGGACAGG